GGATCTCATGAAGTCGACGGTGTTCCTTTGGTTCAAACATAGATCCAACTCAGGCGATTTAACATGGAGTAACTGGATTTGCAGTCCATTTCTATAAATGTCGCTTTACTCTTTTCTGTCTCACTTACGTGTGATTGTTTCGACTCTCGCCTTCGCCTAGCTTCTTGCTATGCAGTGGTCTCTCTCTCTCTCTCTCTCTCTCTCTCTCTCTCTCTCTCTCTCTCTCTCTCTCTCTCTCTCTCTCTCTCTCTCTTTTTTAATGTATTCATTTGCCGGTTCAAAAAAAAATCGGAATTGTAACTTAAAGTCTTAAACCAGGCTGGTTTGTTGCACAACTTGAGTTAAGAGATTTCAAGTTTGTAATGTCCCTATTTCTAGCTAGCTTCTTGCTAAAATTATGACGTTCCCAAGAAAAACTATACATAACAATCGAAATCGTTATAATCATAAATGTAAAAACATAAGATATAATAACATACTTCTTGAAATATAAAATTACAAATTTTCTTAACATTTGTCTTTGTCATGAAATATACTATAATCACAAAAGCATGGTAGGTTATTGAGGAGTGGATGCTCCAAAGACAACCATTAGAGGTTTTTGAGTTGGCAAAGTGTTATAAATATGAACAGTTAGTGGTTTATGGCAATGTGGACTTCCATTCTCAACATAAAACTTAGGATAAAGGTATACATTAGTATACTAAAGATGGATGAAATTTAAGCATTAGTATAAGTACATATCTATATTGTTAATATATATATATATATATAGCTATATAATATATATATATATAGATATATATATATATATATATATTTGAAGCGAGTTAAAGAAACATACATAAGTGTAAAAATGGATGCGTAACTATCATGTAGATGTCACATCGACATTTAGTTTGATAATTCAGTTACCCTAATTCATAAATAATGGTCTTTTGTGATACATATAGAAATACACGTTTTTATGATTTTAACTTTACTGTAAAATGATAATTAAAAAACAAACGTCCTAGCAATTTAGAAAAAGATTTAACGACAAATCTACACCACCATCAATTTCAACATCACACTTATCGTCATTTTTTTTATTGAAAAATCATGTGGGAAGTTGCACATTATCTTGTTTCATATTCGTACTTTCATTTCCTAAAAAAAGTGATGTAGCTTTGTGATAATATGAATGGTTGTTATGTATATGTTTACCCAATTAATCTTTAATTCCACGTTTTTTAAGTGGAATTGGCAACTCTCCTCTAAAAAAATCAGCGAATGGTTTAAGAAGATCATGCAAAAAGTCTTAAAACCAACGTTTCTGTTTAATTATAACTCTTTTAACATGCATGAGTTCGCCAATGAATTAATCTTACTTAACATGCCCTAGAAAGCATGGTGTTGGAAACATTAATTATGGCACCTTAATCCTAGCTTCTTCGATTGCTAATCGTCGGTTTAAGAGGCTAGAGCCGAATCACGTTCTTAGCTTGGATATTATGCCGGCAGTGGCGGATCCTGTATAGGGCCACGGGGGCCATGCCCCCTGATTTTTTTACTTATTAATACCTCTATTATATATAAGATGGGTTTTATTTTTTAAGCTAACTTTATGCCCCTCGGTTATCATTATCAGTAATAAAAAGGAAATTATACAAGTATGCAACACAATTTCAGAAATTTACGGAAAAAATCATAACCAAATCGTGATTTTTGGAAACTGAAACTCTACAAATAAACCCAAAAAACTGTTCTAATTTACTTTCAATTTACACACTCCTTCGTAAAGTATTAAACCCTAAACTAAAGAATAACTCTGCTGTCTGAAAAATTGCTCATCGGGAAATAATGTCACTAACGGAGTCCTGAAATTTGATGGAATTCTCACCGTTGAACATCGCTGCTACCACCGGAGTGCTCATCACTCCCTCTATCCTCTTTGCCATTGCCGAATATGTGCTTTGTCTCTCCGCTTTTGTAAAGTTTTTTTTTTTTTTTTTTTTTTCTCGCTCTCACTCTCACTTTGGGTCTCTATCTTTCTATTTCTCTTTCTCTTTTCTTGAATGTGATAAAATAAAGTGTAGGAATGTGAAAAAGATACGAAGAGGTAAATGAAAACCTGTGAAAGTAAAACCAAAAGTTGCAAACCATTTATTTATTATCTATTAATTTATGATTTTTTTATTAAATCAAGGTGTGTGACGGAAAATGGTATAGAAATCCTCAATTTGCAGTTTAATTTTATTTGCTAAAAGTTATATATTTAACTGTTAGTTTTTTTTATATTTATTAGTTAGTATCAAATAATTTTGTAATTTCTTAATTGTTGTTAAGAGTATTACTATAAAATTTGTAAAACAATTCAAGTAAAGTTAAAAGACAATTTTATTATACTTCAAAAACAGATTAACCATTCCCATTTTCACAAATGTAACAACATTTCGTATTAATTTATTTATTTATATTTTTAATATGTTTTAAATTTATACTATAATATTAAAATTGACTATGTTTTGAAATTATGATTTTGGCCCTCTGGTTTTATAGCTTGTGTTCCGCTTCTGATTATGCCTATTCAAGAAGTGGTCAATGATGCAATTTGGGCTTGTTGAAGTGACAAAACAACTTTGTTTTGTTTCAGATTTCATCCCTACCCTTATAATTTTTTTATAATTTATTTATTTATTTATTATTGTATAAATTATATATAAAAGAAGTAAGAAATAAAAACGTTAAACCTAAGCCTTTTCATCTCTCCACGATCGTATTCACGAGGTTGGCACGTTCACCTCCATATCTCCATCACCACCTCTCACTCTCATTCTTCTTTTCTGTAGCCGCCTCGCCTTCTTCTTCCCCTCTCACACCCTCTTCCAACCTGACATTCTTCAGTTAATCCAGGTCGACTAGAGTTTGCATCTCCAATCCCCACCATGTTCCTCTCTCTCTTTCATGGATGGGTGATTACACATGGAGGATTTATTATGCAATTTACTCTAAGATCAAATAGATGGGAACTATGAAGCAAAAGGTAATTATGCACTAGGGTTTGGTGAAATAGATGGGAACTATGAAGCAAAAGGTAATTATGCACTAGGGTTTGGTGAGTGGTAGCAAGTTTTCCAGCAATGTATGGGGTGCCCATGATTTAATCTGGTGAGTCTTATAATGGTTATGGAGATAGTGACAGGGAAACGGAAGGGGAAGGGAAGACATACAGGAAGCAAACTGTTAATAATAATATTAAACAATAAATTAAAAAGAAAAAGAAAAAAGGAATATAGTTTTTTTAGGTTTGGTAGGAACTCATCCTGAAACAAAACAAAAATATAAGGATGGTCCGAGTTAAAAAAATAAAGTTAGGGACCAAACGTACAAACTACCCCATCATACAGGCCATTCGTGTAATTTATCCTTCCTTTAATCCCAAAAGTTGCAAATCCCTTGGGTATTAATGACTACAAGCCTATCACATAATTGGAGTGAAGTACAAGATCATAGCCAAACGTTTTTATTATTATGGTGTGACTGACTTAGACGATACATAGAGGTTGTGTGGTGGTGTTGGTTTTGAAATATTTTGCCCGGGAAAAAAATTATTTAGTTCTCATGTAAATATTGATTCTAAAAAAACTTTGATTTTGTTTAGATTTTGGCATTTTTTATATTATATATCATCTAACTTGTTGAACTTGTTAACATATTACCCTTTTAACTTGCAACACCCGGTCACAAAGGTAAAATGTGAACAACTTTAACAAAGTTGGATGGTATATGATGTACACGACTAAATGTAGACACAATCAAAAGTTACTTTCATGAGTCCTTTTCCCTTTTATTTTCAACCTTATATAAATTTAGCATTGGGGTGGGTGGGGGTGGGGGGAGGTTGCCTATATTTAAATTCACCCATTGTTAAACAAGTACCCAACAAGTTTTCCATACATAGTGATGATTTGTTCCATTGAAAGCCATTAGAGATTAGATAGTACGATGTTGGATATGGGGAGTTTTCACTTCGTGCCTTGATCGCGATCATTATGCATAAAAAGTACACATTAAATCTACTAATTAGCAAGTAAAAACGAAGGGTCAAATTATGGGAGATTATAGTTAACAAATTAGTTCTCAAGTGATTAAAAGACTTAACTTTGATGTTTCTACCTCCCCACCTCATTTTAATGAAATTTTCGAGGCTTGCTGTTGCGTTGAAACAAGTTTTCGCTAAAAATTATATAATAAAATAGGTTTTAGTATTGGATTGAAAATGTCGTTAAAGGTTCGTCATGCGCGGGGTAGACCTCACATCATAAGAAACATCATCTTAAAGTCTTTTAACACACACATACACACACCCGCCTACCTGAAAGTTAGGTTTTAAAAACGTCATGATCTCAACATAGTTTTTAAAGCTTAAGACTCGACCTTTTGCCACACTTCAAGTTATATAGAACATTGTCTAAGAAAAAAAGAAAAAAAAAACACTTGCTAATATATATTAGAAAAATATAAAAAATACAACAAATATAAAAAAATATATTTGTTCGGTCTCACGTATTAACAATTTTTTTTTATATAAGTGGCATATTAATATTGAGTATTTATTATATTTTTGTAGTGAATCAGTTATTCTATATTTTTATAATTTTGAATGGCTTATATAAATAGTGCTAAATATGTTATCAATTATCATCGTCTTCTACATCCATCTTCCATTGAAATTGTTCTCTCTCTCCTTCCATCTCTTTCGCCACTTGAATACAGACCTCATTTCCCGTGACATTTTTTCTCATTTACAAACAGTTAACAATTAACCTAGTTCAATCAATTTGCCAATCGTCATTACTGCCCTAGTCAATCTACAGAGAACTAATACACAACTCTGATCACTCATTCAATCTTCAATCAGTTAGGTCATTATCAATTTGCCTTAATCAATTACTTCGATCGATTAATTTGGGCACTCTTATGATAATTGGTTGTGGTTGATCGATATAGATAATATAATGAGGATTGGATCAACGGCGGATGAGAGGCGGAGGAAGGCGGTAGAGGATGAAGTGGTGGGGGAGGAGTACGTGGTGGAGGATGTTCGAGATCAGGATCACGGAAGGTTAACGAAACGTCGGAGTCGATTCACGTTATTGGCAGGGGATCTTGACCTAGATCCGAGTCGTAGAGATTTCAATACAGAGAAATTCATCGATGGAATCAGAGGATGCTCTCCTGCCCTCTTCATTCATCCTCAAAACAGGTTCTCTCTCTTTCTCTCTCTATGAATATATATATATATATTTGCATATACACACGCTGCATTCTCTTTCTGTATATGTATTTATGTCGACTCATTTTGTGTGTGTGTGTGTGTGAAACTACGTGACAAGAGGAATCTCAACCGTTACTTCGCTTTGGCACTTTTCGTATTTGCAAAATTTATCCCAAAATCTAACATATATTCAATTTTTATTTTTTTATTTTTGGATTAAAAGTGAAGAATTGTTTTTTAAAGTGGATCAGATAATACTCACCTAAACAGGGTCTGAGTCATCGGGTCGCTGACTCGCTGTAAAATATTTTAGCCGTCATTGATGTACATGTTCCATAAGATAAAATATTTTAGCCGACAATGAATCATCAAGATTCAAGGGTCATTGTGAAATTGCCATATATAGCTATATCATATAAATTATAAATCATGAAGTCTATATATGTTTAGAAATATGCATGGGTCGTTTGGGATTTATTTATTCAAAACATGTTTTTTTTAAGGTGTTTATACTTTATAGTTAACGTGTTATCAAAATAAAAAGAATTTTTTTAATAGATTTTCACAATTACACATGTATAAAAAGTAATATCAGTTGTATGTATTTTTTATGCCCACTAGTGTCTAGTGAACATATTTTCATATTCATAGATGAAGATACGTTCATAATATGTTCATTCATAATATGTTCATGAATGGACGTTTTTCAATTTTCAACTTTTAAACAGCATACAAGATAAAAATAGAATTGTTTATTTACAACATGCTTTTTTAAAGGTGTTTATTAGTTGTTTTCGTAAATAGAAAAGTCTAGATTAGAGCATCCATAATTGGTTTAACCATATCTAAAATTTATTTATTATTTTAAATGTATATACAAATTATCTTTAAAAAAAATTTCCACTACAAAATTTTTCTTGGTAAGAGTTTTAATAACTAAATATTTATTTCTGTTTATTTAAAATATTTTAGAAAATATTTTATATGTTTAAACATATATCATATTTCATATTGGTGCTATTTTATTAATTATATAGTTAAAAATATTAAAAATTATGATAAAAATATAATAATTTTATTTTATGTTTTAATAGATTAGATTAACGATTGTTTAATTTGTTTTTGTCTAAGTTTAATAAATTTTTTAATAACGATTGAGATTTCAACTTTTTTACATTAAATTTGGTTTCCTCATTTTTTCTTCAAGTTGTGTATTATTATTAACTTGATACAAATATATATATATATATATATATATATATAGATATATATATATATATATATATATATATATATATATATATATAGGTTATTCTATTCAAAGTAATTATTGTGTTATTGTATGCATAATTGTGGGCCAATCATTTTACTTAATTTTGAAAAGTGAATAATACATATTATTAAATTAAATTAAATATAATTAAAAAAATACCAACTAATTTCATTCTAAGGGTATTTTAGTCAATTAACATAAATTTAAAAAAAGGAAAATTACTTATTTTAAGGAAAATAGATTCTATTAATTTTAAAAATCTGATTGTATGGATGATAATTCTCCTAATTCGAAAATTCTGACGGAATATGTTTATCAATATATGGAAAAATAACAAATATGATTGAACCATACAAGAATTACACATTCTGACATAATATATCTTTTGATTTAATGAACTTCTTGAAGAATAGTAACAAAAATTTGGATACAAGTTAAAAAAAATTTCATTACATTTTTAGAAAAGAAAAAAAAATTATATATTATTCTATGCGAATGTTACACTTATTAATAACACAAAAAAACACAATATATGAATCATTCTACCAGAATATACTATTACATATATTTTTTTTTCATTATATTGTATATTATTCTGGTAGAATATTTCATTCTTTTTGGAAGATTGGTGGTCATTGATAATCTTCATCCCATACAATGTTCATCTTCAAGATTCTGTTCTCACAGAATCAGAATTCAAGATTCCATTCCAGTAGAATGTTGTAAGTTTCATATGTACCATGTTTTGCTTTGATATCTCTCGTTTCGTACCTACAAAAAATAATGGTATTCAACACTTGATCATTATTAACCAACAATATAAGATAAAAATTCAAGCATAAAATTCAAGCAAACCAAAATAAAGTCACGCAAAAACCATTAAAGAGAAATGGATTCGTGATTCCATTCCAACAGAATTAGAATTCATGATTTCATTCCAACAGAATTGGATTCGTGATTTCATACAATTCGTGAACAAATGCCAACAGAATTAGAGGAACTGTTTGTCTTTCTGTTTGGATGGAAATAGAGGAACTGTTTCATTCAAGCATTTCAGCGAACAGTTGGTGGGCAGAATCTAAATATACATAAGCATGTATCTTAAATAATAGGTACACGTACACAGAGTTAAAACAAATTACAGCAAGCAAGCATATTCAACTTCAAGATTATATCTGGGTGTACATACCTGCAAACGTTTGTAGGGCTGGTAACACTCACTTTGCTTTTAACAATTAATTATGTATTCCATCTTTTTTATGACAATACCTTTATAAATAATATTATCACAAAATTATAACAAAATAAATAATATTATTACAAAATTATAACAAAATCAATTTTGTGGTGTGAAAAAATGATCTTAGATACTTAATCTTTGAACACAAATATATATTGTTTCATGTTTAAAGGACAAATTCAATTAAAAAAAAAGCAACATCAAATATTAAATCTTACAAGTCGCATCTTCATGTGATCACAAAAAATTAAAGAAATCAATTAAGATGAGCACCCGTGATTCCTCCATTTGTGTCTTCAGGAACTTTGTAGCTTGTCCGTGGTGAGTTCTCAAGGAAAGACTTGCACTCAGTTACCTCCCAGAGATCATTTTTTAGAAGCTCTGACGATGATATTTTGGCCAAGAAGTAACCCTTCACATCTGCCGGACAACTCGAGAATGAAAACGGTGCAAATTCATATCCGTTCTTGTGCACGGCCAAACAAGTAACTCTCACCGTCGCTCCTGTTGCTCAATTTAGGGTTTTCAGAAATCGGTTTTTATATAAAGAGGGGAACGAGATTTAATAAAAGTCAATACCATGATTATAGGGATTATTTTTGGAAGTTATTAAACAAATTACTAAATTACCCTTATTTATTTATTTAATTATTTAATTTTTTATTTAATTTTGATTGGCCCACAATTATGCATACAATAACACAATAATTAGTTTAAACAAATGAACCTAGCTCTCTCTCTCTATATATATATATATATATATATATATATATATATATATATATATATATATATATATATATATATATATATATATATAATATTTCATCTATTTTGTTAGAGTTTGACAATAGAGTTATTGTTATTAAAAACTGCAAGGTATTAATTAGATGTGAACACCACTTGTTAAGGGGGCTATTTATTATTAAAAACACCACTTGTTAGATAAACATGTGAACTCGATCTTGATTTATATTGTGAGTCCCTATTTTGATACTTCTCTTATATATAAATGTTTATATTACTTATTTTGTTTGAATTTCTAATTAAATAAATAAACTAATTATATATTTTTTTTTTGTACGGCGGGGAATAAACTAATTATATTGTATTCATAACAAACCACTTGTGATCCCACTAATCTTGGAACGAAATTTTAGGAAAATATCTAATCAAATATTTATGTCCTCTCCAAAACCCCATGTGATGGTTTATGATACTTACAATAATTTTCATTTGTTATGTTGCTCATAGTAAAATATTTATTTAAGGTTTAAATTCCTAAAAAGAAATTGCTATGTTAATTATTTATACCTTTGAAAATTGTTATGTTAATTATTTTTCTATTTAGGTTTCATCTCCCAGTGGAGTCACATATATTGGCATCATAATATACATTAATCCATATCCTACAATTCTAAAATAAATATCAATATGTATAATTATCATATATTGAACTTACATACCACCTAAAAAGGATTCAGTTTCCAAAATTTAGTATTTCTTATTCCATATATTCCACACTTAAATGAAGATTTGTGGTACTCGTTCCATTTATTAAAAAGTATGTTTGACAAAAACTAGCTGAATATAGAACTCTTATTTGTCTACAAGTGCTCTTCAAAAGTAACTGTTAGCTTTTGAATTATGTAAAAAGACATAAAACATAAAAGCTAAAAGCTTCCAAAAGCGGTTTGAAGTAGGTGTTGGATGATTAGCTTTTGGTTTAAAGTTTGTACCCTTAGATACAAGGAATACAATAAACAATATCCTATTCTTCTATAACATTTAAGCATTTAAATTGGTCTCATTTATACTATAAGATCATACAAGTATAACCAAGGATGAAAATTCTAACATATGGCACAAAAACTTTTGAATGCAGCTGGTATAAAGCATGGGAGAAGTTCATATTAATATGGGCAGTTTACTCTTCTTTCTTCACACCAATGGAATTTGGATTCTTCAGGGGATTGCCTAAAAACCTCTATTTCTTAGACATAGCTGGTCAAATCGCTTTCCTCATAGATGTTGTTCTCCATTTCTTTATAGCCTACAGAGACACCCAAACTTACAAAATGATTTCTAATCGCAACTTAATCGCTGTTAGGTTTGTAATTTCTTCTCTACATATCCAAATCAATAAACCATTCTATAAATTTTTTTTAAATCAAAATCCACCTTTTTGTGATTTCAGGTACCTCAAATCTCATTTTTTGTTTGATATACTAGCATGTATGCCTTGGGATAACATCTACAGGGTACGCATTAAGCCATTAATACATTATGCAATGATAAAATTATTATTTACTAAATGGTAAAACGATTATTTATTTATATTAGGCTTCCGGAAGAAAAAGAAGAAGTGAGGTACCTTTTGCTAATTAGATTGGTTCGAGTACGCAAAGTCTTGGAATTCTTTTCAAGATTAGAAAAGGACATTCGTGTCAATTATCTTTTTTCAAGGATTATAAAATTAATCGCTGTTGAACTCTATTGCACTCATACGGCTGCTTGCATATTCTATTATTTGGCTACGACTCTGCCAGCTGTCGAAGAAGGATACACCTGGATTGGGAGCTTAAAATTAGGCGATTATAGCTACTCAAATTTCAGAGAGATTGATCTTTGGAAACGCTACACAACTTCTTTATATTTTGCCATTGTTACTATGGCCACAGTTGGTAAGTTCATTTTCATCAACATAAATTACAATGTACTTTCATTCATTTGTTTATTATATAAGAAAAATCTAAATTACAATGTCATAATTGTGTGGATTTGTTTGTTTGTGCTTTGTATAGGTTATGGTGAAATACATGCGGTGAATATGAGAGAAATGATATTTGTGATGATTTATGTGTCATTTGACATGGTTTTGGGGGCATATTTGATTGGTAATATGACAGCTTTAATAGTGAAAGGATCAAAGACAGAAAGATATAGAGATAGAATGACAGATCTTCTTAAATATATGAATAGAAATAGACTTGGGAGAGATATAAGAAATCAGATAAAAGGTCACCTTCGATTACAATACGAGAGCAACTACACTGATTCCTCTGTTCTTCGCGATCTTCCAATTTCCATTCGTGCAAAGGTAGACTTTCAATCTTTTTCTTATTAAGACATTCTATGTTCTGAAATCATTAGAATTATATGTTTAATGATATTGTAAATGTGATTCTTTCCAGATATCTCAAACGCTATACAAGTCATACATTGAAAAAGTTTCACTTTTCAAAGGATGCTCTTTAGAATTCATCAATCAAGTTGTAACAAAAGTGCATGAAGAATTTTTTCTCCCAGGGGAAGTGATTATGGAACAAGGCAATGCGGTTGAGCAGCTTTATTTCATCTGTCATGGTGAACTGGTATAACTTCCTTCCTTCTCCTTTTTTAATTAAAATTAGTAAACCTTTTGGATTTTTAATTAAGAATGAAATGAAATGAAATTATATGTGTGTAGGAGGAAATTGGTATATGTGAAGATGGATCTGAAGAAACAGTATCGATTCTAAAACCTCATAGTTCATTTGGAGAGGTTTCTATTCTTTGTAACATTCCTCAACCTTACACAGTTCGAGTTTGTGAGCTTTGTAGACTTCTTCGCCTTGACAAACAATCTTTCTCTAATATCCTTGAGATTTATTTTCATGATGGGAGAAAAATTCTCAACAATCTTGTAGAGGTGATTCATTCATTTTCCACAAATAAGTTCAATTCAGCTTTTATATATGAATTCAATCTGGCTTTTTGAAATTAATATATGATATGATGGCAGTTTAACGCATCAGATGCACGAATGAAGCAATTAGAGACAGATATCATTTTACACATTGGAAAACATGAAGCAGAGCTTGCACTCAGGGTCAACAGTTCAGCTTTCTATGGTGATTTGTATCAGCTTAAAAGCTTGATTCGAGCTGGAGCTGATCCAAATAAGAAAGATTATGATGGAAGGACTCCATTGGTAATTAAACTACTTTTAATAAATATTAAATTCTAATTTTGTAAAAGAAAAGATCTCATCTGACAAATTCTTGAAATGAACAAACAGCATCTTGCTGCATCAAAAGGATATGAAGATATCACTCTTTTTCTTATTCAAGAAAAGGTAGAAGTGAATGTTTTAGGTAATTAAACTTCATTCCATCTTTAATCTTTATATATTTTCACTTTTATGCATCAGTTTTACTCGTGTTAATGGTTTTATTAATTTTGGTGATATACAGATAATTTTGGGAACACTCCATTATTAGAAGCTATTAAGAATGGACATGATAAAGTGGCTTCCATATTAGTGAAAGAAGGAGGCTCATTGAAGATAGATGATGCTGGTTGGTTTTTGTGTACAAGTGTAGCAAGAGGAGATATTGATTATATAAGAAGGATTTTGTCAAATGGGATTGATCCAAATTCAAAAGATTATGACTTTAGAACTCCACTTCATGTGGCTGCATCACAAGGATCTTATATAATTGTCAAGTTGTTGGTGGAAGCTGGAGCTAGTGTTCTATCAAAGGACAGGTATAGTATCTACACCATAATTAATTAATTCACTAATATTAACTAACAAAATTTGGTTATATATATGTTAGTATTAGTTTTGTTAATTTGAATGTATATATGTAGATGGGGTAATACTCCACTTGATGAAGGGAGGATGTCTGGAAACAAGATGTTGATCAAATTACTAGAAGAAGCAAAAGATGCTCAGTTGTCGGAACTTCCGGAAGGTGCTCAAGAAATAACAGGTCTTTTTTCAAACTTTTTAACTTAATTTTTTTTTCTTATTAAGGCTATGTTTCATGTTTGTCAGACTTATAAGAAGACAAGTGACAAAATATATATGTATTTGATGACAGATAAAATGCATCCTAGGAAATGTACAGTATACCCATTTCACCCATGGGAACATAAGGACAAAAGCACGTGTGGAGTGGTTTTATGGATTCCACGAACAACAGAGCAACTTATAAAAACAGCAGCCGAACAATTGAAGTTGGAAAGTTATGACACTTGTTGTATAGTAACAGAAGATGCAGGTAAAATTCTTGATGTTGATATGATTTTAGATGGACAAAAGTTGTATTTGATAAGTGAAGAATGAGTGTGTGGTTTGTGTATCATTGTGATTATGTAACACAAACATTATCGTCTTCATTGCAATATAAATAAATTTCATCTTAAGTTTCAACCTTTAAATACTCAAGATCTCCTGTAAATAAACAATTTTCGAAATATTAGCAATTTACCTACAAAGCTAACGTGATAATTTTCTGCATATTCGCAATTTACCTACAAAGCTAACGTGATAATCTTCTGCGTATATTATAAGTCCCAATAGTTGTAGAATACAAATGTTATCATATTATTGGCCAAAGTTTAAGAATCTTGTCATACTTGTGGCAAAACATGTAGTAACTTTTAATACAATGTACGTATTTCAAAAACTTGAGGAAAGGTGAAACAATCAAATCTAAGTGGGCCTTAGCCCATCTACATGCAAATTCTTCATGCTGTTTAAGTGTGTAGTGATAACTCTGTTTATTTGCTATTATTTTGGGCTTCGGCCCACATTTTGGCAATATCCGATTAGCTAATGGAAAGGTGCGGGTCCATTCAAAATTCAAGTTACCAATTTCAAAAAATTACCATATATATCAATTTATGATACCAAAAACAAATATTTACACATTTTTAAGCTAGCAGATCATGATATTATTCACTAAAAATGATGTCTGAAAAATATAAACTTGGCCTTACATTGAACCCAGCTGAGTGACGACCTTCTACCAGCTCCATACCAATGTCACACACTAAAATATGAGAAACTCATTAAAAAAATAGTACCTACTCTTACTTTCCAATAGATTCTTTCTTCACATATATTAAAAAAAACTCTACACACATTTGATTAACTTGATAGTTAGTACGAAATAACAATTCTTTATTTGTTTTTCCTTTTATAAGAACATTAAAAAGACTCCATCCAATTTCAAGTCAGCCATGGACATGTTCTATCTTTTCATCCTTCTGTCATCAAATCTCTTAACCTTATTCATCTCCACCACTTTCTACGCCCCTAATTGTTCCTTAACCCCACCACCGGTGATCAACCCTTCCTCCAGTCAACCGCCGTCCGACCACCACCTCCCGCCGGAATTCCTCGCCTTCACCTCACCAAAACACCTCCCATTTGGACTGAACTCAAATTTCGATTCAGACAAACTATACCCTCCGGTGGGTAGCCCGTGTACCCTTTTTCAAGAACTTAAAAACTACATGACCTACCCGGTCAACGGGTCCTGCCCGGATGATGAACTTTTAGCACAAAAGCTCCTCCTCAAAGGCTGCGAGCCGCTCCCCCGCCGCCGCTGCCGCCCACCATCACCACCAGACTACACTGAACCCTACCCGATTCCCAAAAGCTTCTGGTCAACACCACCCGATTCATCAGTCATTTGGACAGCATACACTTGCAAGAACTACACATGCCTTATAAACCGGTCCCACAACCAAAAACATTTTGACGACTGTAAAGACTGTTTTGACCTTGAGGGTAGAGAGAAAACACGGTGGATGATCAAGGGTAAAAGCAGAACAGATTTCTCGATTGATGAAGTGTTAGCGATGAAGAAACACGGAACGATTCGAATCGGGCTCGATATCGGAGGTGGTGTGGGGACGTTTGCAGTTAGAATGATGGAAAGGAATATAACGATAATAACAACTTCAATGAATTTAAATGGCCCTTTTAATAGTTTTATAGCGTCAAGAGGTGTTGTGCCTATGTATATAAGTGTTTCGCAGAGGCTTCCGTTTTTTGATAACACTCTGGATATAGTTCACTCGATGCATGTATTGAGCAATTGGATTCCGACTACTTTGTTACATTTTTTGTTTTTTGATATTTATAGGGTTTTAAGGCCTGGTGGGTTGTTTTGGCTTGATCATTTCTTTTGTGTAGGGGAGGAACTTGAAGGGGTTTATGTGCCACTTTTGGAAAGTGTAGGGTTTAATAAAGTGAAGTGGGTGGTCGGGAAGAAGTTGGATAGAGGACCTCAGTTAAATGAGAGGTATCTTTCGGCTTTGCTAGAAAAACCATTATTTTAACTCTTGGTATCGTTGCTTTTTTGTTTTATAATTTGAGATGTGAAATATAAGGGTTGATTGTTGTACAAGTACATGGAATATAACGTTTTTCTGGCAGGTGTAAGGAGAATATCATTGTTTTCTTTTAAACTACAATGGTTGTACTACACTTGATAGAAACTTAGATGTATTTTGTGAGAATAATATTCTTGACCTATTAGAGAGAGCTAAAGAGGATTTCTTAAAGTTGAAAATGTAAAAATAAAGGTTATTTCCAAATTTTAGATTTATAAACCTCCGGACCATGGGCCAAAAATGGGCCCAAATCTCAGCCCAACAAGGCCAAATCGCAGCTAGAGAGTCCCAAATTTCAGGTGAGGCTAATGGCCATCAATTTGGAAGAATATTTTTGGAAAAACGCTATTTTTGGCCAAGTTATTAAGGAATTTAGCTATATTTGTAATTTTCTCTTATAATGGGGGACATTATTGATTAATTCCAAATTTATGTGAATAGATGAGTGATTTAAGTTCTGGAACTATAAAGAGGGTTCTAAAATTTTAATAGGTTATTCTTGATTCCGATCCAAAGTTGTATTTCATACAAAAATTGAGTAAATATTGATAATTGACGATGTTTGGTGAAACTGTATAAAAAAAATGGAGTGTTATTACAACATAAATTTCGAATGTTGCTTTGACAGGTTAATGTGAGCTAAGTTCATGTAGATAATAGATTTAAGATAGCAGTAGCAGTAGGAGTAGGAGCAGCTCCTTTGTGATTTGGAAATTAGAAATAAGCAGGATCTTAAGAGTTGATATTTGAATTGAAAAGGGAGCACATGTACTAGAGTAACTAAGGGGAGGCTGTGGTATTGTACAAGTGAGACTAATGCCCTAGGATGGGGTCATATTTTACCTTTCACCTTCTTTCGGTCACCTCGGCTTCACTTCATTTTCCCCTCACTTTTCAAAACCTAGGAAACTGTCACACTTCACTTTCCGTTCACTTTTTATACAATGTGCAATGTGGATTTGTACTAGATGCATCATAAGTGTGGTACATCTTTGTGGTTGGGTTTAACCCACACAAAATTCGAAATTAGTTACACTTATAAATTTATCAATATTGTTTTGAATTGTACATGGTGATTTACGAGATCGGGGATTGGTGTTGAATGCTCAGTTGACATGAGGTGACTGAAAATGAGATAAAATGATCTTAAGAAGCTTCGTCTTTAAAAAAATTGAAATTTTTTAGAAGTGACATCATTTTCACAAAATATTCATTGAAAAACCCATTTTGTGAAATGGGTGATTCATGATCTTTTTTAACCGTGAGATACATGGTCTTTTGTAACTAAAAAAATTAAAATATGATAGCTTGGTGTTATTTAAAAAAAATAACACTTTCTAAATCATTGCTTTTCCCTCGTTGAAAGGTTCATTCATTTATTTTAGATTCTTTTGAAAGACCATAGGAAGTTCTCTCCATTGACCCATTGACATAGAGAGGACCCAAGAACATTAGTGGATGTCACTAATATGTGAAGATAAGGACCCTAAGAGACAGGGACGTAACTATTCACACTCAAGTAGGACCTACCTTTTTTCTTTTTTAATACAAAAATTCTATATAAAAAAACATAAAGAACTACCTTATTTTTGCCAAAAGACCTACATTTTCATACTTTTTTCCATTTCATTTATATAGGGAACCACGTTGATTTTGGTTCTAGATTTGCCACTGCTAAGAGAGAGAATTGATTCAAGAAATACGATGTGCAGATTAATTCTAATGATTTGTGTAAACTAATCAGTTGTGGAAATATGAGAAACAAACAATAATACAGTTGTATTTCACTTTTTATTTAATTATCTTCATTTTTAAGTCTATGTAAGGACACTTCAGGAGATAAAAGGACTTAACAGATGAAATAGATGCAGGGAACAATATAATAACCATTAAATTTTATTTAATTATCTTCATATTTATATTATTTCCCTCATTCACAGGTTCAAGGAACAAATCATGTCCATTTTTTTAGATTCTTTTAAAGGACCCATATATCCATATCTCCATTGACCAACGCAAACAGTTTAGACGTGGATCATCTATATAATAGTCATCAGTTACAGAATTGATTATGAAGTAAAACACAGTTTGAGTGAAACTTCTATTAGCATTTATCAGAAAACAAAAATAAATGTCTAAATAATCAAGTTAAGTTATAGTAATACATTGTTAAATCCAACAATAACATCTAATATTGTTGTCTATTTGTAATCCTAGTGCCTTGCTAAATTTCGGGTTATAAGAATTTTTATTTTTCTAAGAAAAAAGGAACAATGTCATGACAGATAGATACAATTCAAAGTGTAATACACTCCTTCGTGGAAAAATATATATGACATTGACTTCTAATGTAAAAGACACTCCTTGTGGAAAAATATGACATTGTCCAAATTTCCTTTCGAGCACATGAAAAAGAACACAGGAGAAAAAGATAGCTCAAGTATAAATTAGGACATGCAATCCATTCCAAGGATCGAGACACTTAACACACGACTCTAAACACATACAGCTCACGAAAAAACAAGAATACAAGGATGAACATGATGGATTTAACGTGGTTCGGTCCTTCTCTGACCTACGTCCACCGGTAACTAGGAATTTACATTTCTTGGTGCTAATCTGCACTCTTTCTTTGTTACACTAGATACAAGTTTTACAAATGAAAGGAAGAAGCATATTTATAATATTTTGAGTCATAAGCCTTTTCTTCCATTCACATACATGTGAAATTGATAAGGCCACCATTGTTGAAATTCTGCAGCCGTAACAATTTTTCCATGTTCACATGAGAGTCCTTGTTTCCTGCCACTTCTTTTGACTAACCCAATGGCTTCACACTCAACATTCAAAGTGTAATACACTCCTTCGTGGAAAAATATATATGACATTGACTTCTAATGTAAAAGACACTTCTTGTGGAAAAATATGACATTGTCCAAATTTCCTTTCGAGCACATGAAAAAGAACACAGGAGAAAAAGATAGCTCAAGTATAAATTAGGACATGCAATCCATTCCATTTTTATTGAAAGCAACATGACAAAGCAAATAATGTCTTCTTCAAACTTGTTATTTTTCTCTCTAACTCTATTAATCATCACACTCTCCCCCATACCAAATTTCGCTTCTGCTTCTTTGGAGGAAGCCAATGCTCTTCTTAAATGGAAAGCAAGCCTTGAAATCCCCAAAAACTCCTTACTCTCTTCATGGATTCCCCTGCCTTTGAATTCCAGTGCATCGGTTCCATGCACTTCTTGGATTGGAGTAGTTTGCAATGCTGATGGGAGCATTCAGAGGTTGAACCTCACATCATCTGGATTAAAGGGTACGCTTCATCGATTTTCATTCTCTTTGCTACGCAATCTTACGCATTTTGATCTCAGTCTAAACAACTTCTTTGGCCCCATCCCACCAGCAATAAGACACTTGTCCAAACTTATCCATCTTGATTTTTCTAAGAATATGTTTTCTGGAGTAATCCCACCTGAAATAGGAACCCTGCACCCGCTAACCATCTTGTACCTATACTCAAACAATATATCTGGTCCCATTCCTATTGAACTTGGGAATTTGAAGTCTCTCACCGATCTTGCTGTAAGCCACAATCAACTTAGTGGTTCTATTCCTTCATCATTGGGTAATTTGACATCTTTAAATCTCCTTTATTTGTACAGAAATCAACTCTCTAGTTCTATTCCTATTGAACTTGGGAATTTGAAGTCTCTCACTGATCTTGCTGTGAATGAGAATCAACTTAATGGTTCTATTCCTTCGTCATTGGGTGATTTGACATCTTTGAATGTCCTTTATTTGTTCCACAATTACCTCACTGGTCCCATTCCTATTGAACTTGGGAATTTGAAGTCTATCACTCATCTTGATGTGAGCTTCAATATACTTAATGGTTCTATTCCTTTATCTCTAGCAAACCTGAGTAACCTACAACTTCTGTACCTCGATTGGAATAAATTATCTGGACCCATTCCTATTGAACTTGGGAATTTGAAGTCTCTCACTCGTCTTGTGAATCAACTTAGTGGTTCTATTCCTTCATCATTGGGTAATTTGACATCTTTGAATCACCTTTATTTGCCCAACAATCAACTCTCTGGTCTCATTCCTAGTGAACTTGGGAAGTTGAAGTCTCTCACTCATCTTTCGGTGAGGGGAAATCAGCTTAGTGGTTTTATTCCTTCATCATTTGGTGATTTGACATCTTTAATTCTCCTTTATATGCATAACAATGAGCTTGCTGGTCCCATTCCTAGTGAACTTGGGAAGTTGAAGTCTCTCACTGATTTCCAGGTGAACAACAATCAAATTAGTGGTCCTATTCCTCCAGAGTTTGGAAATTTAACTCAACTACAAAGACTTAATCTGTCTTCAAATCATTTGGTAGGAGAGATCCCAAAGGAGTTTGGGAAGATGAAAAGTATGTTGTATTTGTATTTGGCTGGCAACCAAGTTTCAGGTGTTATACCTCTGGAGCTTGGATTTTGTGAACTCCTTGAAGTACTCGATCTATCCAAAAATAGATTGAATGGGTCGATTCCAACAAGTATTGGTCAATGGGCACATATCCACTACTTGAATCTTAGTAATAACAAGCTCAGTGAGAAAATTCCCTCCCAGATTGGTAAATTAGTTCAGCTTACAGAACTTGATTTATCTCAGAATTTTCTCATAAAAGAGATACCATCTGAAGCTCAAAGTCTGCAAAGTTTGCAAAAATTGGATCTCTCTCACAACAGACTCTCTGGTTCTATTCCTGATGCATTTACAAGTTTGCCTAACGGGATTCGTATCAACCTTTCTTTCAATAAGCTGTCAGGTCCAATCCCCCCTTGCGCTAACTTTGTGAATGCGTCTATAGAAAACAATCTAGATTTGTGTGGAAATGTCACGGGAGTGAAACTTTGTCCAAGTCAAATTATGAAGAAGAAAAATGATCCCTTTCATCATAAGCTTATCCTTGTAATTATGCTCCCTCTTATCGGGTCTGTTTTACTTGGCGTATTCACATATGGCCTCATTGCTAATCTACAACAAAAGAAAAAGTCTCCACAAAAACCATCGGATGAAGAAATCGGTGATTATTTCTTTATTACAAGTTTTGATGGAAAGGTAGTGTATGCTGATATCTTGAAGGCAACAAATGATTTTGATGAAGCATACTGCATTGGGACCGGAGGATATGGGACTGTGTACAAAGCCGAGCTGCAACCTAACAACGTGGTAGCTGTCAAGAAACTTCACCCATCATCTGAGAATGTTGATCATAATGGATTCCTTAATGAGGTACGAGAATTAACGAACATAAAGCATCGAAACATAGTGAAACTGTATGGATTTTGCTCCCATGTCCGCCACTCATTTTTGATTTATGAATACCTTGAAAAGGGAAGCCTTGGATCAATCTTAAGAAGCGATGTGTTAGCAAAAGATTTGGATTGGTTGAAACGAGTAAATATTGTAAAGGGTATAGCTAATGGTTTGGCTTATATGCATCACGACTGCTCACCTCCTATAATTCATAGAGACATATCCATAGCCAATATCCTTCTTGATTCTGATTATGAGGCGCATATTTCTGATTTTGGCACGTCCAAGCTTTTAAAGCTAGACTCTTCCAACTGGACTGCAATTGCAGGCACCTATGGTTACATCACGCCAGGTAACTCAACCTTGTGAGTTTAGTTCTACATCTTCTTAAGTTTTATGATATATAGAAATATGTATAAATATGTATCTATGTTAGAATCTTGTGGGGTTGATATAGTTTTTTATTTTTTTTATTTTCATTTTTTGTTTTTGGGGTTGATATAGCTTTTTTTGTTTTTATCTCATGTATCTTTGGATGTAGAGCTTGCTTATACGATGGTGGCAAATGTGAAATGCGATGTGTATAGCTTTGGAGTTGTTGCAGTAGAAGTGATAATGGGAAAGCATCCAGGAGATCTCATAACATCTTTACCAACATTGTCTGATGATGATGATTATTTGGTGCCAGCAAACGTGGGAGATAGTCGGATACATCCTCCCTCATCCCAAGTTGAGAAACAAGTTAAGTTGGTTTTGAGTCTCTCAAGAGCATGTTTGAACTCCAATCCACATGAAAGACCAACAATGCAACAAGTTTCAAATCGGTTAACGAAGGATCTGCTTTGAATTGACATCTCTTGCCTGATCAATATATTCTACTTTCAGTGTTCTTTTTACTTTTCTTAAGTTCCCTATATATATGCATCTTGTCAATATGTATTCATTTGAATAGCTTTTTGTTAAGAAACTTCACATATGTTTGTGAACAAATAAGTAAATGCAAATTACTATGCTTCTAAAAATTGACTACTGGAAACCAAGGACAACACCATCACAAAAAAGTCAAGCTTTGACTAATCTTATTAATGCAAGTATAAAAAGCTTCTTCATCTGAATCTCCCTTCCATGTCTACTGGTAGCTAGCACCAAATTGGCACCAGTAGTTTCATGCATGGATACTCAATGGATTATGGAAGAAATTGCAAAGTGATTGTCATTTGTGAATATTGTTACTGCAATCAGGAAAGAAGTAAAACAATTAAGGGCTCTCCCTCCACATATCTTGATGGGCATCAAATTTTTCCAAAGACATGCTATTTAATGTTAACCAAGTTTTGCCAAGGATACCATAAGAACATTAACTAGCTACAAAAATAAGTAAGTCTGGTTCACATTTTAAAGTGTAATATTAGCTAATATATAATCAATAGCATTGCCTGAAAACCATACTTCTCTCATTCTGTATTGGATGTGAACAATTTTTTGGGGCATAACTAACAAATGTTTGGAGACCATTTATTTTCTGTAAATATTCTTTGTTTTCAAGTACTCTATGAAAGCACAACACTGCACTATGAACAAACCGATACCATACAGCTGATGTGGCATTAAATTCAAAAAAAAAATCATCCAGGAATTTCATCAAACAGTTAATATTCATTAGACTCTGTGTTGTAAAACTCGCCGAGTTGGCCGATTACTCCTCTGAGTACTCGCTACTCGGCCCCTTACCGAAGCGAGTTACAAAATCCCGAGTACTCCCCGATCGGCCCCTTACTGAACTGAGCAGTGTTGTAAAAATCGATCAACTTGGTGATTAATATGTATAATATACTTAATGATTTATTATTTAACACACACACGTGTGATTCTTACTACATATATATCTTAAATTTTCTATAATTATTCACAAAGTGAGACCATTACGTGTTTTTTTAGTTTTTGTGTATTCATAGTATCTAATTTTGTTATATATTTCAATCAGTTTATGATTTTAACTTATGATTTTGACATATATAATTTCCCTAAAAATATTTCTACATGAATTACCAAATCCGAGTACTCCCCGAGTACTCCTGAGTACTCCCGAGTACTCAGGAGTACTCGGTAGTCGGCCGAACAGGTACCGAGTAACGAGTTCTACAACCTTGATTAGATTAACATTTTTGCAAGGAGCATGTACAAGTGATCCCAATAGGAGTGTTGGAAGAAGATAGCACAGAAAAATAAGGAAAGACACAAATACATACCTTTTAATTGATATCCACTTCAACCATCCTTAACTACACTTCAACCACTCTGAGTCTACTATGGAAATGGATTCACACTTTTGTGTAATCACCAACTGATAAGTTGCGGTTTCTGCACTTTGGGAATCTGGAATTGGGTTCGTCAATGGTGTAAGCGGGGTCTGAAAGTAGAATTGTTGGGTGCATTGTGCTATACAGTTATATGGTCGCTTTGGAAAACACGCAATTCCAGAGTTTTTAATAGGTGTTATAATCATCAAGATATAGTGTTTGATGAGATTCGATTTCTATCCTTCAACTGGGTAAATAACAGAGAGGCAGTAGATTCAAACTTGCCATGGAAAACAGGTGCATTGATCGTGTTTAAGTTCACCTCCATCATAGTTGTTATAAATAACAATGTACTTTCATTGATTTGTTTATTATTAATATATTACATGAATTTGTATTTGAATAATCTACCCGAACACGATCCCAAACATCGTAAAGCCGATAAAAGAGCTATGCAGATAGCGGATCAAAGCCTTGGAATCCCAAGTAGGGGATCAGGGTATTACTAAGGATCTTCCCTCGAGGAAGGATGACACGATTTGAAAAGAAAGGTAAAATAAATCCCCAAAGCATCAGACCATTCGAGATCCTTGCACAGATCGGTCCGGTAGCCTACAACCTCCAACTACCCTCCAAGCTTAGTGACGTATACCCTATGTTCCATGTGTCGAACCTAGGGAGTGTTTATCGGGAAAAACCCTCCCGGTTCCACTAGACAAGACTAAAGTGAACTACAACCTCCTAATCATTGATCAGCCTATCGAGACAATGAACGAAAAAGTTAAGCACACAAAACAAAGCCGCATCCCGATTGTGAGGGTTCGAGAGAACACTAGGAGTGATCCGGAATTCACTTGGGAACGCGAAGACCAGATGAATCGAAAGTACCTTCACTTATTCCCCTATTCATGACCCTACCTTTCGAAAGAATTTTGGGACAAAATTCCCTCTAACGGGGGGATGATGTCATAACTAGCATTTTGGCTAGGAAATTCCTTCCTCATGTAAGCAATAACTATTGTGAAGACTTGTGCTAACACATTTAAGCGTACAATATGATTCCTAATGAGCCAAGTAAAGTTAGATCCCAAATCTCTCCAAGTATGTGAAATCTCTCCCAAATCTCTCCATGTGTATCAAATCTTTCTATGTAGTTTTTCCTTAGTCAAACCAACTCAAAAATGAAAGGAAGAAACTTAGAAGAGCAAGCCTAGTTCGGAACTCTCTCACTTAGGAATTTCTTTTCTTTTTTTTGGAAACTTCTCTCTCACTTCGGAACTCCTTAGATCCAGAAAACACCCCTCTTCGGAATGCATATGCTCCGGAACTTAGGTGCTTCGGAATGAAGCATGCCCCGGACGTCTTCTGATCCGGAATATCTGACTTCGATCTCGTGCCTCTCCAGAAGGCTTCGCATGTTTGGTTCGGACATGTTGACTCCGCCTTCGACCACGGAATTTCTGAATCAGCTCCGGAATTGAGAACCATCTTCGGAACTCCTAACCTGGCTCCGGAAATTGGAGGTTTGGCTCCGGAATTTCCACTCCGGAATTTGAAGCTTCGGAATTTATGAACTCCCTCCGGAACACGAGAATGGCCTTCGGAGCTCACCTGGAGGCTTTGGAACTCATGTTTTGACTCCGGAATTTTGAATTTGACTCCGGAATTTGCGATTTGGCTCCGGATTTCGAACCATTTCATCATTTCATCATTTTAAGATATTTTTCTAACACATAAGATGTGAATAAGACAAAAGCCATTGACTCTATGATGCGACATTTCAACAAGTTCCAAGATAATCACGGATAAACTAGCAATATCCTCCAGATATCCAAGCACACATCAAATCAACTTCTTTTCCTTTATTCAAAAGAAGAACTCCATCTTACTATCCTCACTTTTACTCCATATTCACTCCCTGGAAGATTTCACCCTCCTTCAAGAGTCCTTTCCTCACCCATTTAACAAACTCTTCAAGAGCAAGCGGATGCTCCCAAGTGCATTCAAGTTTCAATCTGATTTCTCCAAAGATATTTCCAAAATTCTTGTAAGTATCTCCAATTTGCTAAGTGATCCTTCACATTATTCTATTAATATCACTATATGTACACATAAAATTATGTGTTAATATCCTTAGGAAATCCTCAAGTTCAAAGAGTTTATCAAACTCTCCAAGGGTTAGAACTTGGAAACTCCTCATCAACTAGCCAGATCACCCACAAAACTAACTCAAGGTGAGCTTCATACCCCCATTTTTTCGAGATTTCTATTGTTTTTGAGGGGAGAATACAAGTCAAAGTCTTGTGTAAATCATGATCTATTTGCTTTTTGTGTATGCATGTCATCTTACATGTGTTTAAGTATGAAAACCCTTATAAATAGTCCAAAAACTCGAGATTTTGGTTAAGTCTCAAGAGTTTGGATTATATCTCACAAATCACATTTGGAATCAAGAACTAGTATGTTACCAAGTATAAGTCACGAATTTTTATAACAACAACTATAAGGATTTGCTTCAATATTTGCTTAAACAAGTTGTTGGACAAAATATTTTGAAAATGATTAAAGTATGGAAATAATAATATTTTGGATCATTTTTGGCCAAACATAAATACAAGGGTTATATTGGAATATTATGTCATACTTATGACTTTTTACCAGATTAACAAACTATTTGTGGTTATTTATAAATATTTAATATAAATAATTTTATCAAGAAAAATATATGAAAACAGAGTTTTCATGACAGCATATTTGCATGTCATAAACTGCTGTCGTAAAACCTTCAAGAACATAAGTAATGTTCTATATGTCATAAAACAAAAAATGCGTGTCATAACCTGCAATCATAAATTTACACAAATTATAACTTGACACTTTTTCTCTTGACTAATATGGGCCTGAGCCAACAATTTATAAAAAGGAAAGTCCATTTTGTCAATACCGATTATGTTGGGTCATTTTGTTAAGCGTTCAAAATGGCTTATCTTTCAATAAACGATATGGAACGAGAACGATATTTCTATTCAATGAGTACAAAATTCATTATTTATCTAACGAATAATGGACCTCAAGCGATTGCTCAAAAGGTTGTTAATATTCTAGTCAGACAAATCTCAAAAGTACCTAAATATAAAAATATTAGTGTACGTCTAAAGTCCTGTAAGGAGTTATAGTCAGAGTCTCCTGAAGGGAGATCGGGAATTTGTGTATAGATCTATACGGGGTTGACATCCCGCACCTTCGTTGTTCGCTATAGCTAGACCGGCCAGTCTAGGGTGACAAATGTCTTTATCCAGAATGAGGGCGCCTGAGAAACGCCAAAACAGGCTTCCGTCATATTAGTATGTGTGACAACCGTCAAATTCAAGTCAAAGTCAAAGTCAAAATTAACAAGTCAAACTTAATTAGTACTAGTATGCTAAAAGTTATTCTATGTATAAACTGGGCATTTGTATGTCAAGGATTCAAGTGTTCCAGATATTCTAAGTGTTAACAATGTAAAAACCCTAAAAAGGGAGTTAAACGCTTCAAAACACGACTAAGGACCCTCTCTGGGACTTAAAACAATCATAAACGAAGTATAACGGGGTTCACGAACCTTGCATACGAGATTATGCGATAATAATGGCTAAGTTTAAATCTCTCCCAAATCTCTCTAAGTATGTGAAATCTCTCCAAGTATGTGAAATCTCTCCCAAATCTCTCCAAGTATGCGAAATCTCTCCAAGTATGTGA